AGATAAGCCCACAATTAAAGGATGTTTTCAACTAAGGTGCTAGTTGACATGTGGTAATTTATAGTTAGCATAAATTTAACCTTAGTGTAATAGAACCCATTCTATGGTTCTCTGAATACCTATCCCATAAAATGGTGGAAGATTTTATCTGAACGTAACATTTGAAAACAAGAGACAGAGAAATTCTCCATTATCTCACATAATTAGAAAAGAGGTAATTGTAATTGTTCTCTAGAAAGATTGGCTTTTACAGAAGTTGGAAAGTTGCCTCCAGAAGATCTGCATTAACTAAACTTTTCTGGGAATTAGGGCAACGTTTGTTTCCCAGCTGTTGTAGTTTCACTGCATTAGTAGCCAAATGTGATAAGCTGAAATAGCGGTGAGAGGTTCAGTAGCTGCTGCTTCTGCTGATTTTGCTGCAACTTGGACCGAATTTGCACGCTAAGGTGGAAATCAGTAATAAAATAGAATTGAATGTAAAGAAATTCAGTCTCAGCTTTAACTGATTGTATATAAACCATACAAATTGTGCAATATATTTATAATTTCCTGAAAAATGCCTTGCTAGATCTGAACTGTTAGTGACTTCTCAGTTCAAACTCTAGATACAGCAGATGATCAAACTTTAGAGTTAACGCATTTGTTCCGGTTGTCAATGGGCTGCTGTCTCGATGCCCTGAGAGTCTCCCTGCTGTGCAGGCATCACGGTCTCCACTCCCCGAAGCAGGACCTGTGAACTGCTCTATTATCCACAACCAGGGACATGGCCTGGCACAGAGTGTGTCAAGCTGGCTATTATCCAGGGTCTGCACGGTATTGTTAATTCTTTTAAATATAATCCCTGCCCATAGATGATGGTGAATATGATAATTATTATATCTGTATAAACTAACATAATGGTGTTAGAAATTTGTACATGAAACCTAAGGCTATCATGCATTTAATTAGAAATGCTATCTTAATGTTATAAGTGAATTAATTCACTTCACCATTTTGTATGATCATGAATAAATCTGTGTTGCATTTATTTTTTAATGAACAGTAACTTTTAGCATATGCATCATACCCAGGAACCCCCTGAATGTGTGGGGCTTTGTTACATATAACACTTTTTACTCACTAAAAGGTCTGGCTATTTTTTTTTTTTTTTAGTTTTTCTTCTATGATTTTTTTTTTAAATTTTTTATTGGATTTTAGGTTTTGGGGTACATGAGCAGAGCATGCAAGACAGTTGCGTAGGAACACACAAGGCAGTGTGCTTTTCTTTCCTTCTCCCCTTCACCCACATTTGGCATTTCAGAGAAATTTTTTTTTTTAATATGACATTTTTGACATCTTGCAGAACAATCTTGTTGGACAAATTTAATATTTAAAAAGTGCTGGGATAAAATCCAAGGCAGAAAGCTCTTGGAGTGAAAAACTGAACAAGTTGAAAACTTAAGGGAATGTAATTAAGATATATTTGGACACTTAGAACTGTGGAGAGGATGTAGTAGATGAAAATGGAAGCAACTTGCTTCTAAAAAGCAGGCACGAAAATATAGGCTTAATGGCATTGTTAAACTCTGACCGAGAACAACCATTTTAAATGACAAAATCATCACAAAACCTAATAAAATATTTGGATATTTTGAAAATAATACATTAATTTTCAGAGTCAACCACTGGGACTTTCATGATCATCTCTCAAAGAATATGTATTTTCAGGCTGATGTGTCCTCCTGAATTTCCTCTAACTCATTTCCCATTGTCATTCATACTCATGTTGTTTTTAATGAACTAGTTCGGCAGGCTGTTAATTTGTTCACATTTTTCAGTGTACTGTTCCTGGGTCCAGATCATGGTTAATGAGACAAGTGAACAATTCTTGGCCTACTTGCATTTCCAGAACTACTATTTTATGATAGGTGTTCTCAGTTTGTGTCAAGATATTGAATGCCTATCACTCAAACACTGTTGAGGAGTTAGTGACCTTCAACTGATTTCTGAGCCTTTTGGTCTCTGAGTGTCATCATAGGTCATGAATTGCTGACTCCAGAAGGGAGTGGATATGATACACTGGCTCAGTGAGATGTACTGTAATTAAAGTACAAAGTTTTAATCCTTTTTTTGCCAGTATTTAAATACAAGAATCTCCCACACCCCCACAAATCTGTGACTACTGACGACTTTTATTGATAAGCCACAAAACTAAATACATGGTAGAAAAGGCCACAAATACCAACAAGAATAATATTAATGGAGATGAATTGTAAGAAAGCAGTGAAACGATGTCATAATTTCTTAGCATAAGGTAATTTGTCTTAATTTTACATAAAGTAATAGATGGTCTATTTTCCAAGTTCAAATCTAAGCTAAAATAGAGGGAGAGACTAAGAAAGTAGAAGAGGCTATTGAAAGCAGTTTGGGCATAAGAAATAGTAACAGAGAGGGATTCTTGGCAGTTTAAAAAGTTGAAAGCAGAGACCAGAGGTGAATAAGAGTAGAAGCAGTGAAAACCAAAACAAGACAGAATGATCATTCAGGAGATTGTCTATAATTTCAGCATACATTCTTAGTGGTAGACAAGGATGAGTGTGGACAATAGAACAATAGGCAATCCATTGCTGGTAGAGCTAGCTAAATCCTATATATCATAATATACTTGACCTCTTCCTTTCTTTCTTTTCTTTCTTTCTTTCCTTCCTTCTTTCTCTTTATTCTTTTCCTACTTTCTTTTATTTTTTTCCTTCCTCCCTTCTCTTTTTCTCTTTCTTTTCTTTCTTCCTCCCTCCCTCCCTCCCTCCTTCCTTTTCTCCTTCCTTCCTTCCTTCCCTCTTTTCTTTCTCTTTCTTTCTCTGATATATATATGTAAACATAAATATACATGACTTTATTATGACTTATATGATTATGAATATTTACAGTTATTTCACTAGGTTATTAGGAAAATTGACACCACTTAATGTAGAGGTATGTAAAATTTAATTTTGAGATTTTTTTTTCCAAACTCTTTTTGCCCCTGTGTTTAAGACTTCACAAATGTTATTTTAGAGCAGAATTCAATTATGAGGTCTCAAAAATTCTTTTAAGCTTTTTTTGTGGTTCTAATATTTTAAAACAATTTAATTTTCAGTATACTACAAATAATGACTTTATCATGTATAGTATATACTGTACATAGTCAATAGATGTCAGGATAGGTGGTTAAACTGAATCCTGTAATATAAAAACCTTTAAAATACAGGTTTAAAATAAAAAATAGATTTTAAACTTTACTTTCAAATTTAGAGTATATATGTATTTATTCATAGATTTTGTATATTTGGTTCATCTTAATCTTTATTCCTGAAGAAATATGCAATAAAACCACCAGTAGTGAGATTAACTACAGAGAAAGGTAAATTTAAATAAATTTGTACTTAAGTTTAATAAAATTCTGAGTTAGGGAAGGTTTAAAAATGTAATACTACTTTCAAACTCGTAAAGGAACTAATGGAATTTTTAAGGTTAAATGAGAGGAAGCCATTGTTATTTCATGTGTTAACATGTAAGTAGAGCCTCTAAAGCTGACAAATAATTTGTTCTCAAGTTTGCAACATGTTTATTACCTTGTTTCCAGCTAATTATTTAACTGTCTTTGAAAGACCAGTTTGGCCAAATTTCAGCCTACTTAGATCTCCATCCAAATTGAGAGAAATCAACACTAGTTAGCCATTGATAAGATATTACTAGCTCCTTTATTTCGTGATATATTTGTTCCACTGTTTTCTAAGCCATCTTTTTTTCACATATGTTTCTTTTTTTAAAAAGTACTTATTTTTCTGTGTTCATAGCTGGGAGTTTTTATTTGCAATTGATCACTTATCAGAGTTATCTTAGTAAAATGAGAGAAGACATTGTCCCAGGAATTGGAGTTTACACAAAATATCTCCCAGAAGCCCCCAGAAAATACTCAAAAAACTGGTAATGAAACTTTTTCAGAGATAATGAGTACTTTAGAAGTCAACTCTGTCACTTCCAATGTAATATACTAATTAATTAATACTACCGATTATCTTTATTCTGTCCTTTTTAAACTTCCAATGTTAATAGATTTGCTTTTGGGTATACAAAATAAAAGCAAATATTTATACCTTAAATTTGCCACTGTGTATCTCTTTCAGAATACCGTATATAAAATTGTTTTATTTTACTTTAGTTGTTTTTGATAATTAATTTGGTTTATGAGTTGTTCTTCTTTCATAAAGTTTTAGCTCCCATTAATATACACTCCTGAAATTCTTTTAGCTATTTCCATTTCCTATGTTAATTGGTTTATAAAATCTAAGCCAGAAGAGTTATAACTTCCCTTAACAAACATTTCTTGAAGTACTGGGTTTAAAGTTTATGTTCCAAGTTTACTAGGGAATCAATTTGCTTTTACGAATTGCAATAGGCTATAAAATAAACTTTACAAAATAATTCAGAGGGAGAAGCATTGGTTCTTAAATTTTGATTCTTAGTGGTGTTACCAATAGAGTTCAGATTATCAATATATGGGCATCTTATTTTTCAGCCCAAAAGTTGTGTTTTGCTGACTTCAAGCATCCCTGCTACAAAATGGCCTACTTCTATGAACTGTCCAGCTAAGTGAGCTTTCAGGAGGCACGTCTGGCTTGCGAGAGTGAGGGAGGAGTCCTCCTCAGCCTTGAGAATGAAGTAGAACTGAAGTGAATAGAGAGCATTTTGCAAAATTTGACAAAACCTGGAACAGGGTTTTCTGATGGCGATTCCTGGATAGGGCTTTGGAGGAATGGAAATGGGCAAACTTCTGGTGCCTGCCCAGATCTCTACCAGTGGTCTGATGGAAGCAGTTCCTAGTACCGGTGAGTATGGATCCTGAGCAGGTGACAGGTGCTCTGGGGAACTCCACAAGGTAGGGAAAGGACTCTGTTGCCTGTAGAGGATGTCAAGGGTAGAACAAGAAGAATCACTTAGGAGGCATATATCTGAGTGTTTGTGTTGCTCTGTGTTTGCAGAAACTGGTACACAGATGAACCTTCCTGTGGAAGTGAAAAGTGTGTTGTGATGTATCACCAACCAACTGCCAATCCTGGCTTTGGGGGTCCCTACCTTTACCAGTGGAATGATGACAGGTGCAACATGAAGCACAATTATATTTGCAAGTATGAACCAGGTAAGCAGTAGCAAAAAAAGGTATATATTTTATGCATATTTAATTATATTAAGTTTTGTCTTTAACTTTCATTACCTTTGGTTCTTTTTGTTTTTCTGCTGTGAAACAGAAAATTACCTTCAGCTTGTCATATCACTTGTGTACTGAAACATCACATCTTGTAGAGCAAACTGCCCAATGAGCTTAAAGAAGAGAATAAATAAAAACATCTGAAGAGGTGTCTTTAAGAGAAAATATTCATTTCTAACATTAAAAACAATTTGATTTTTGTAAATAGATTTTATAAACAATAACTATCTATTTTAAATTATTTTAAACAGTTACTATAATATGTGGGAAGTAGGTGTAAGTTACCAAAGCACCTGTAGACTTGCACATGTGAACAGCAATTCTTTATCTCATGAATTTAAGAGAACAATGCCCTTTCTCCTGGATAATTTGCTTATTTTATGGTATAGTACTTGACATGTGGTACTCAGTAAAAATAAGACTATCATAGCTCATTGCCCCATAGTGGAAAAAAGTAGGAAGATGTGGCTTGTTCTCCCTATGATTCCCATTCTTGAAATATGCCTCCTCAGTTAGCTTTCTTTTGAAATCTCCCACGACTTGTCATATGCAGCAAATGGAAAGCTTACATTGACTTGAGCTATACTGGTGTGGGTTCTAGATTAAAAATATAGTACATTTGAATTACTTTGAATGGGACAGATCATCTGAATATAGATATTTGACTGAAAGAGGGATTAATAAAAACTCCCTGGACTCATTTTTTTAAATAATCTGAGAAAGTCAAGTTAGATCCCTAGGCTTTGAGATGTCTTAGCTGTTTTTCTCCTCAGTGTTTGTGTCATTTTAACTCTTCTGAAGGGGTGTCTTCTTGAACTCATAATATGTGTTCACAGAAGGTAATTATAGTTGAGTACTGCTGCTTCCATTATTCTCTTGAAATTACATTATTCTTTTTCTCATAATAACATAAAGCACAAAGGATTATTTGGATTAGACTTACCATTCTCTTTGATTTATTCTGCTCTTGAGTGTATTAGGCAACATTTTACATCCCTGGTGAGTTTATTCTTTAACCACCTTGGTTGCTAAACCCATCATTACCCTCCTGGAAGCCTTTGCAAAGCTGAGTCTCTTATACACTTATGTCCTTTATTTTTCTCTTGGAGAAGTATAAAGTTGAAATTCTCTGATATTTTAAATTTGTGACCTTCTATGTACTTAAAACTACTGAATAAAACAAATACAATATTATGCATTATTCTTAATATCACATTATTGTTGCCTTCTCCTTTCCTTTGAGTTCATAGATCAATTATTTGACCCTTCATTGTATTATATATAATTTAAGTTTGCATTCAAACTTATGCCATTATTTAGGACACTATAAATCTTACAATCTTCTTTTCTTGTTTACATTACTAGGTTTATATTACTCATGCAAGAGCATTTAAGTTATAAAATTATTCTTTTTATCTTCTACATTCTACCCAAATGTTCAAATAATCCATATAGATTACAATATTTTTATGTAGTTATTGTTTTGAACCACATTCACAGGTTTACTTTTGGTCTTATTAATGTGCTCAGGATTTTAATTTTTTATTTTATAATTTAATCTTTTTTTTCTACTTAGTTAACCTTCCTTGAACTTAGTGTCTGCTTTGTAAAGGATGTCAGTTAGATTAAATTCCTTGGTTATGCAATAACTGCTTGAGTTTTAGTGATATTTTGCATAATATTTATAGTAATTATTAAAAAATGTCAATTGAGTAGGCATAGGGTGATTAAATACTATAGAAGAACAGGTATAGTTTAGGACTGAATCAGAGGAGGCTATTAAGATGTCAGGGTAAAATCTGTATACAAGAATATCAAATATTACTAAAGGATGGTATACGATTAAACTTCCAACAAAGGGAGACTCTGACATTATAAGAAAATGTAATAATGGTAAACATTAAATTAAAATTCTTTTGTATCCTAAAAACTATATAAGATGTTACATGTGTTCTTATTTCAATTGACAAAAGTAAGTAGAAAATTACACTTAAACAAATGGCAACAAATGTACAGGTTTTTACAAATAATTCAGTTTAATTTCATTGAATTATTAATTTAACAAATAGTACCTTAAGGGAAAGAAAAATAGAAAACAGAGCAATACCAAATTGTGACAAGAAATGTCAACAATTTTAAAGTGTGTGGCAGGAGGAAAAGAATCAGGAAGAATAATTAATGGATGCTGAATAGGTAATGAATGCTGAGCTTAATACTTAAGTGATGGGATGACCTGTCCAGCAAACCACCATGTCACAGGTTCACCCGTGTAACAAACCTGCACATTCTGCACATGTACCCCTGAACTTAAAGTAAAAGTTAGAATAACAATAAAAATAAAGCGTGTGGCAATAGAAGAGACATCTATGAAACTAGCAAAAGAAACTTGCAAGCTTTAATTTAATATTATTATTATTTTTAACAGTAGACACTCTTGAAGAGCAAATCTAAGGATGGCACTATATGTGCAGAACAGAAATGTGCCTTAGAACATTGTTGCTTGAATCATCAATTCCAAATGCAATCCACATACAGTCATCTGGTTATTATCGCAAGGGAAAACCTAAATAATACACTGATATTAGTAAAGAAATTATCTTGCTTGTCTCTGAATTGCATTGAGTATATCACACTCTTAAGTTTACCAATTCTTGGTTATCCTCGCTTAACTTTGTTCCTGGTCTGCCATTATTGCCTGCAGCAGGCTGCCATCAGCACAGACCCACTGTTGATTGCTGAATGGAGTTTAGAGTTTCAAGGGAGAATGTATCAAGTAAATCTTTTATTCAAATATAATTAAATGTTTATTCAAATATAGTTAAATGTTATCAAAGATAGATAATTTCATGTAAATTTAAATTCAGAATATATTTTATTAGCTGCAAGATGTTCAGAAATCAAAATTATATTTTATTGTTTTATAATAAACATTCATATTTATATGTTTTCAATTCTCTTATTTAGTCATCATATATAATGCTGATACTTATTATTTACAGAAATTAATCCAACAGCACCTGTTGAAAAGCTTTATCTTACAAATCAACCAGGAGACACCCATCAAAATGTGGTTGTTACTGAAGCAGGTAATTACTTCATGTGTCTTTAACTTCATCAAAAACTGAACTCTACTTTCAAATGCTGCTTCATGTTGACTCCAGTGAAACTTTTCTTGCCTGGGGAAGTGGTGCACTAAATTTGGTCCTATGGAAATTTCCTTTGAGCTAGCTTAGAAAAATTATGTTAGGCTAGTATTTGAATAGAAACACCTGTCTGGTTTTCTTTAAAGTGTTACTAAACTATGTGATACACATGAAAATTTGGATCTGTCTGGGCACAGTGGCTCACACCACTGTAATCCCAGCAATTCGGGAGGCTGAGGCAGGGGGAATCACTTGAGCCCAGGAATTTGAGACCATCCTGAGCAACCTGTCAAGACCCCATCTCTACAAAAATACAAAAAACTAGCCTGGCATGGTGGTGCATGCCTGTAGTGCTAGCTACTGGGAGACTAAGGTGGGAGAATCACTTGACCCTGGGAAGCTGAGACTGCAATGAGCAGTGATCATGACACTAAAGTCCAGAGTGGGCAACAGAGTGAGACCCTGTCTCAAGCAAACAACTACAAGTAAAACAACTTTGGGTCTACAAAGACGTTCTTTAAGAAGACGTAGGTGTCATGATGCAAACTGGCAAATTTAGTGGAGAGCAAACAAAGATGTGCTGATACATGTCTAGAGATTGGCTGAATCCTTAAATTGCTTGAAGTCAAACAAGATTGGGTGGAAACAGCAAATTATTGCTCAGATACCCTGTTGTTGGGCCTCATGAGTTTGTCTTCTGTTAACAAATGAAGTGATGCGTAGTTCAGTGGAAAGCTTTATCCACACATCTGGTCCACTTTGACCAGAGTTATTTAGATTAATCGTGATGATGGCTTAATCTGCAAGCTAAATGCATAGTTCTTCAATTTGCTTTTCTTGCATAGACATGACATTAAGGCTTAGTGCTTTTCATTTTTCAGGTCCCTGGTTTTAAAACCATTCAGAACATCTAAACCTAATTAAAAAGATCAGTAAGGGCCGGGCGCGGTGGCTCAAGCCTGTAATCCCAGCACTTTGGGAGGCCGAGGCGGGTGGATCACGAGGTCAGCAGATGGGGACCATCCTGGTCAACATGGTGAAACCCCGTCTCTACTAAAAATACAAAAAATTAGCTGGGCACGGTGGTGCGTGCCTGTAATCCCAGCTACTCAGGAGGCTGAGGCAGGAGAATTGCCTGAACCCAGGAGGCGGAGGTTGCGGTGAGCCGATATCGCGCCATTGCAATCCAGCCTGGGTAACAAGAGCGAAACTCTGTCTCAAAAACAAAAAAAAAAGATCAGTAGGCCAGGCAGGGTGCCTCACACCTGTAATCCCAGCACTTTGGGAGGCCGAGGCAGGTGGATCACCTGAGGTCAAGAGTTTGAGACCAACCTGGCCAACATGGCAAAGCCCTGTCTTTACTAAAAAATATAAAAAATTAGCTGGGCACGGTGTCAGGTGCCTGTAATCATGTCTTCTTGGGAGGCCGAGGCAGGAAAATCGCTAGAACCCAGGAAGTGGCAGTTACAGTGAGCCAAGATTGCACCATTGCCCTTCAGCCTGGGAGACAGAGCAAGACTTTGTCTCAGAAAAGAAAAAAAATCAGTAAATAATCACATTGGAAAAAATTTTTCTCTTATGAAATTGAACAAACGTTTATTAAAGCAATTTTAAGTTGTATGAGATTTTGGTGTCACAGTTTTATAATTTTACTAAGAACATCTAGCATTATAAAATGTTATAAAACAGGATTAAAAAATAGCTCAGTTTAGAATTTAATTAAGATGAAGTATTTCTGCCACTGGAGTCTTGTGTCTCTGAGTCATTACTGTATCATCAGTTAATATTTACATATTTCATTTTAATCTCAGGGACTAGTATATAATCATAGCACTAAGCTTATTGGCTAGATAATGATATATCCAATATATCCACAATAATTTTAATAATTTTTAATAAGCACTTATTTTGTAAGTAATGATTGATGAGAAGGAATAATGAAACTAGTTAGCTAAGATTATTAATATACTGTGAAAGCTAGTCCATGTCCGAATTGCTGATTTAATAATAGTTTTGGAAGTATGGATGTCAAATTGGAACAGTCTGATATCACTACAATTCAGTACAATTCAATATTCAGTTTGTTAAAGTTTAGTTTTTCATTTTTACCAAAACATGAATAGTTAAATACCACTTAACAATGGGGTTATGTTCTGAGAAATGCACCATTAGGTGATTTTGTCATTGTGCGAACATCATAGAGTGTACTTAAACATAGATCATATAGCTGACTATACATCTAGGCTATTTGACATGGCCTGTTTCTTCTATACTGCAAACCCTTGCAGCATCTTATGTACTGATGCTGTAGACAACTGTAACACAATGGTATTTATCAAAACCTATCTAAACATAGAAATGCATAAAATGGGATATGAAATATAAAAGATGGTACACCTATATAGGAGAGATCCATTATAATCTTACAGGTCCAGTGTCTTATATGTGGTGCATCGTTACCTGAAATGTCACTATGTGGTACATGACTGTCTATTATTTCATTAGATTTTTCAACATTATTTTTAATTTTTTATTGCATTTTAGGTTTGGGGGTACATGTGCAGAACATGCAAGACAGTTGCATAGGTACACACATGGCAGTGTGTTTTGCTTTCTTTCTCCCCTTCACACACATTTGGCATTTCTCTCCAGGCTATCCCTCCCCACCTCCCCCTCCCACTGGCCACCCCCATTTCCCCCCAATAGACCCCAGTGTTTAGTACTCTTCTCTCTGTGTCCATGTGTTCTCATTTTTCATCACCCACCTATGAGTGAGAATATGCGGTGTTTCGTTTTCTGTTCTTGTGTCAGTTTGCTGAGGATGATGTTCTCCAGATTCATCCATGTCCCTACAAACCACACAAACTCATCATTTCTGATTGCTGCATAATATTCCATGGTGTATATGTGCCACATTTTTCAAATCCAGTCTATTATCAATGGGCATTTGGGTTAATTCCAGGTCTTTGCTATTGTAAATAGTGCTGCAATGAACATTCATGTACATGTGTCCTTATAGTAGAACGATTTATAGTTTTTGGATATATACCCAGTAATGGGATTGCTGGGTCAAATGGAATTTCTATTTCTAAGGCCTTGAGGAATCGCCACACTGTCTTCCACAGTGGTTGAACTAATTTACACTCCCACCAACAGTGTAAAAGTGTTCCTTTTTCTCCACATCCTCTCCAGCATCTTTGTCTCCAGATTTTTTAATGATTGCCATTCTAACTGGCGTGAGATGGTATCTCAATGTGGTTTTGATTTGCATCTCTCTGATGACCAGTGACGATGAGCATTTTTTCTTTTTTTTTTTAATTTTTTATTGGATTATAGGTTTTGGGGTACATGAGCAGAGCATGCAAGACAGTTGCGTAGGTACACACATGGCAGTGTGCTTTGCTTTTCTTCTCCCCTTCACCCACATTTGGCATTTCTCCCCAGGCTATCCCTCCCCACCTCCCCCTCCCACTGGCCCTCCCCTTTTCCCCCCAATAGACCCCAGTGTTTAGTACTCCCCTTTCTGTGTCCATGTGTTCTCATTTTTCTTCACCCACCTATGAGTGAGAATATGCGGTGTTTCATTTTCTGTTCTTGTGTCAGTTTGCTGAGGATGATGTTTTCCAGATTCATCCATGTCCCTACAAACAACACGAACTCATCATTTCTGATTGCTGCATAATATTCCATGGTGTATATGTGCCACATTTTTCCAATCCAGTCTATTATCAATGGGCATTTGGGTTGATTCCAGGTCTTTGCTATTGTAAACAGTGCTGCAATGAACATTCGTGTACATGTGTCCTTATAGTAGAACGATTTATAGTCTTTTGGATATATACCCAGTAATGGGATTGCTGGGTCAAATGGAATTTCTATTTCTAAGGCCTTGAGGAATCGCCACACTGTCTTCCACAATGGTTGAACTAATTTACACTCCCACCAACAGTGTAAAAGTGTTCCTTTTTCTCCACATCCTCTCCAGCATCTGTTGTCTCCAGATTTTTTAATGATCGCCATTCTAACCGGCGTGAGATGCTATCTCAATGTGGTTTTGATTTGCATCTCTCTGATGACCAGTGACGATGAGCATTTTTTCATATGATTGTTGGCCTCATATATGTCTTCTTTCGTAAAGTATCTGTTCATATCCTTTGCCCACTTTTGAATGGGCTTGTTTGTTTTTTTCCTGTAAATCTGCTTGAGTTGTTTGTAAATTCTGGATATCAGCCCTTTGTCAGATGGGTAGACTGCGAAAATTTTTTCCCATTCTGTTGGTTGCCGATCCACTCTAGTGACTGTTTCTTTTGCCGTGCAGAAGCTGTGGAGTTTCATTAGGTCCCATTTGTCTATTTTGGCTTTTGTTGCCAATGCTCTTGGTGTTTTGTTCATGAAGTCCTTGCCTACTCCTATGTCCTGGATAGTTTTGCCTAGATTTCCTTCTAGGGTTTTTATGGTGCCAGGTCTTATGTTTAAGTCTTTAATCCATCTGGAGTTAATTTTAGTGTAAGGTGTCAGGAAGGGGTCCAGTTTCTGCTTTCTGCACATGGCTAGCCAGTTTTCCCAACACCATTTGTTAAACATGGAATCCTTGCCCCATTGCTTGTTTTTGTCGGGTTTATCAAAGATTGTATAGTTATATGTATGTTGTGTTGCCTCCGGTGCCTCTGTTTTGTTCCATTGGTCTATATCTCTGTTTGATACCAGTACCATACTGTTTTGATTACTGTAGCCTTGTAGTATAGTTTGAAATCCGGTAGTGTGATGCCCCCCGCTGTGTTCTTTTTGCTTAGAATTGACTTGGCTATGTGGGCTCTCTTTTGGTTCCATATGAAGTTCATGGTGGTTTTTTCCAGTTCTGTGAAGAAAGTCAATGGTAGCTTGATGGGGATAGCGTTGATTCTGTAAATTACTTTGGGCAGTATAGCCATTTTCACGATATTAATTTTTCCTAACCATGAACATGGAATGTTTCTCCATCTGTTTGTGTCCTCTCTGATTTCGTTGAGCAGTGGTTTGTAGTTCTCCTTGAAGAGGTACCTTACGTTCCTTGTGAGTTGTATTCCAAGGTATTTTATTCTTTTAGTAGCAATTGCGAATGGCAGTTCGTTCTTGGTTTGGCTTTCTTTAAGTCTGTTATTGGTGTAGAGGAATGCTTGTCATTTTTTCACATTGATTTTATATCCTGATACTTTGCTGAAGTTGCTTATCAGTTTCAGGAGTTTTTGGGCTGAGGCAATGGGGTCTCCTAGGTATACTATCATGTCGTCTGCAAATAGAGACAATTTGGCTTCCACCTTTCCTATTTGAATACCCTTTATTTCTTTTTCTTGCCTGATTGCTCTGACTAGAACTTCCAGTACTATATTGAATAGGAGTGGTGAGAGAGGGCATCCTTGTCTAGTGCCAGATTTCAAAGGGAATGCTTCCAGTTTTTGCCCATTCAGTAGGATATTGGCTGTTGGTTTGTCATAAATAGCTTTTATTACTTTGAGATACATTCCATCGATACCGAGTTTATTGAGGGTTTTTAGCATAAAGGGCTGTTGAATTTTGTCAAATGCCTTCTCTGCGTCAATTGAGATAATCATGTGGTTTTTGTTTTTGGTTCTGTTTACGTGGCGAATTACGTTGATAGACTTGCGTATGTTGAACCAGCCTTGCATCCCCGGGATGAATTCTACTTGATCATGATGAATAAGTTTTTTGATTTGCTGTTGCAATCGGCTTGCCAATATTTTATTGAAGATTTTTGCATCTATGTTCATCATGGATATTGGCCTGAGGTTTTCTTTTCTTGTTGGGTCTCTACCGGGTTTTGGTATCAGAATGATGCTGGTCTCATAAAATGATTTGGGAAGGATTCCCTCTTTTTGGATTGTTTGAAATAGTTTTAGAAGGAATGGTACCAGCTCCTCCATGTGTGTCTGGTAGAATTCGGCTGTGAACCCGTCTGGACCTGGGCTTTTTTTGTGTGGTAGGCTCTTAATTGCTGCCTCAACTTCAGACCTTGTTATTGGTCTATTCATTGTTTCAGCTTCCTCTTGGTTTAGGCTTGGGAGGACACAGGAGTCCAGGAATTTATCCATTTCTTCCAGGTTTACTAGTTTATGCGCATAGAGTTGTTTGTAATATTCTCTGATGATGGTTTGAATTTCTGTGGAATCTGTGGTAATTTCCCCACATTTTTTATTGCATCTATTTGGTTGTTCTCTCTTTTCTTTTTAATCAATCTGGCTAGTGGTCTGTCTATTTTGTTGATCTTTTCAAAAAAACAGCTCTTGGATTTATTGATTTTTTGAAGGGCTTTTTGGGTCTCAATCTCTTTCAGCTCAGCTCTAATCTTAGTTATTTCTTGTCTTCTGCTGGGTTTTGAGTTTTTTTGATCTTGCTCCTCTAGCTCTTTCAATTTTGATGATAGGGTGTCAATTTTGAATTTCTCCGTTCTCCTCATATGAGCACTTATTGCTATATACTTTCCTCTAGAGACTGCTTTAAATGTGTCCCAGAGGTTCTGGCATGTTGTGTCTTCATTCTCATTGGTTTCAAAGTACTTCTTTATTTCTGCCTTCATTTCGTTGTTTACCCAGTCAACATTCAAGAGCCAGTTGTTCAGTTTCCATGAAGCTGTGCGGTTAGGGTTGGTTTCTGAATTCTGAGTTCTAACTTGATTGCAGTATGGTCTGAGAGGCTGTTTGTTATGATTTCAGTTGTTTTGCATTTGTTGAGCAGTGCTTTACTTCCAATTATGTGGTCAATTTTAGAGTAGGTGTGATGTGGTGCTGAGAAGAATGTGTATTCTGTGGATTTGGGGTGGAGAGTTCTGTAAATGTCTATCAGGTTTACTTGCTCAAGGTCTGAGTTCAAGCCCTGGATATCCTTGTTGATTTTCTGTCTGATTGATCTGTCTAGTATTGACAGTGGAGTGTTAAAGTCTCCCACTATTATTGTGTGGGAGTCTAAGTCCTTTTGTGTAAGTTATTAAGAACTTGTCTTATGTATCTGGGTGCTCCTGCATTGGGTCCATATATGTTTAGGATCGTTAGCTCTTCTTGTTGTATCGATCCTTTTACCATTATGTAATGGCCTTCTTTGTCTCTTTTGATCTTTGTTGTTTTAAAGTCTATTTTATCAGAGATGAGAATTGCAACTCCTGCTTTTTTTTGCTCTCCATTAGCTTGGTAAATCTTCCTCCATCTCTTTATTTTGAGCCTTTGTGTATCCTTACATGTGAGATGGGTTTCCTGTATACAGCACACTGATGGGTTTTGGATTTTTATCCAATTTGCCAGTCTGTGTCTTTTGATTGGTGCATTTAGTCCATTTACATTTAGGGTTAATATTGTTATGTGTGAATTTGATACTGCCATTTTGATGCTAAGTGGCTGTTTTTCCTGTTAGTTGTTGTAGATTCTTCATTATGTTGATGCTCTTTAGCATTTAGTGTGAAATTGGAATGGCTGGTACTGGTACCTTTCTATGTGTAGTGCCTCTTTTAGGAGCTCTTTTAAAGCAGGCCTGGTGGTGACAAAATCTCTGAGTACTTGCTTGTTCGCAAAGGCTTTTATTTTTCCTTCACTTCTGAAGCTCAGTTTGGCTGGATATGAAATTCTGGGTTGAAAGTTCTTTTCTTTAAGAATGTTGAATATTGGCCCCCACTCTCTTCTGGCTTGTAGTGTTTCTGCCGAGAGATCTGCTGTGAGTCTGATGGGCTTCCCTTTGTGGGTGACCCAAACTTTCTCTCTGGCTACCCTTAGTATTCTCTCCTTTATTTCAATGCTGTTGAATCTGACGATTATGTGCCTTGGGGTTGCTCTTCTTGCAGAATATCTTTGTGGTGTTCTCTGTATTTCCTGCAATTGAGTGTTGGCCTGTCTTGCTAGGTGGGGGAAATTTTCCTGGATGATGTCCTGAAGAGTATTTTCCAGCTTGGATTCATTCTCTTCGTCCCCTTCTGGTACACCTATCAAACGTAGGTTAGGTCTTTTCACATAGTCCCACATTTCTTGGAGACTTTGTTCATTCCTTTTTCCACTTTTTTCTCTAATCTTGGTTTCTCTTTTTATTTCATTGAGTTGATCTTCGACTTCAGATATTCTTTCTTCTGCTTGGTCAATTCGGCTATTGAAACTTGTGCAAGCTTCGCGAAGTTCTCGTATTGTGTTTTTCAGCTCCTTAAATTCATTCATGTTCCTCTCTAAGTTATCCATTCTTGTTATCATTTCCTCATATCTTTTTTTAAGTTCCTTACTTTCTTTGCATTGATTTAATACATGTTCTTTTAGCTCACAAATGTTTCTCATTATCCACCTTCTGAAGTCTAATTCCATCATTTCGTCACAGTCATTCTCCGTCCAGCTTTGTTCCCTTGCTGGTGAGGAGTTTTGGTCCTTTCTAGGAGGCGAGGTGTTCTGGTTTCGGGTGTTTTCCTCTTTTTTGCGCTGGTTTCTTCCCATCTTTGTGGATTTGCCCGCTTGTCGTCTGCGTAGTTGCTGACTTTTCGATTGGGTCTCTGAGTGGACACCCAGAATGTTGATGATGAAGTATTTCTGTTGCTTGTTTTTTCTTCTACCAGTCTAGCCCCTTTGCTGTATGACTGCTGAGGTCCGCTCCAGACCCTGCTTGTCTGGGGTGCACCTCTAGCAGCTGTGGCACAGCGAGGGATGCTACCAGTTTCTTTTTCTGCTATCTTTGTCCCAGGATGATGCCTGCATAATGTCAGTCTTTTGGATATAGAGGGGTCAGGGAGCTGCTTGAGGAGACAGTTTGTACTTTATAGGAGCTCAATTGCTGAGCTGTGAGCTGTGTTGTTCATGCAGGGCTGTTAGGCTGCTATGTTTGATTCTGCTGCAACAGAGCTCATTAAAAAAACCCTTTTTTTCTCAAATGCTCTGTGTTGAGGGGTTTGGGCTTTATTTATGGATGTCCGTTGTGGTCCTGCCCAGCTAGGACGCAGACTAGCCACTGTTTGCCTGCCGAGGCTCTGCCCTGCTGTTGTGAGGCTCGCCCTGGCTCCGCTGTTCTGCTGTGTTCTCCGCCACGCCCTGCGGTGGAGTCTCTCTGTTGTAGCAGGTTGCCTCAGCAACAGCAGGCTGGGTCAGCAGTGGGAGTGTATCTCAGTAGGGACGGGTTGCCTCAGCAACGGCTGGCTGCATCAGCAATGGGCATGTATCTCAGTTGGGGTGGGTTGCCTCAGTAATGGTGGATGCCCCTGACCCACAGAGCATCTCGGGATGTCTGCACAGGGTTTGTTTGTAATCACGGTTTTGTTCGTCCCACTAGGCCACCTCAATGCTCTGTCCCTGCAATCCCCTGGGCTGGCCCACTGTCCAAGTCTAGCTCAGTCTCAAGTCCAGCCCTCTCACGTCTCCATTTGCCGGTTCAACAGGGCACCCGGACAAGCACGACCTGTGGGGAGCGCTGGGCAGGGCCGGCCACCACCACCCAGGCTGCTGGCTTCCCCAGGCGGAGGTTCTGCCTGGCGTCCTGTGTCTCCTCTTCACTTGGGAATTTGCCCGTTCTGTGGGCAACAAAGATCAGTCTGGAAATGCAGCTCTGACTCACCTCTCCGCAGACTCAACACAAGCTCCAATCCTGGGTTGTTCTCACAGCGCCATCTTCGGTATCCCCCCCTCCAAAAGCTTTTGAAATGGGGCCAAACCATATTTGGTTTAGCATATTTACATGTCAAACGAAAAACTGAAACTGTTTCACACAGTTTTAATGAATAACCTTAGTAAATAATTCTAGGTGGGTAATTTTTATCTTTCAAAACTAAGTATTTTTCTTACCCTCTTTTTGCTCGTTTGATAAAAGGGAATCTGATTCTCAATATGTAGGATGTCTCATTCCTCTGACTTCTTTCAATTTTTTATCTTTGTCTTAGATTTCCTACAGTTTATACCTATGTGTGTATGTATACACAAATTACATATATACACACATATGTATATGGTTTTGTATATAATTTGTATTTATCCTGCTTGTTCTCTGAGCTTCCTCAATGTTTGGTTTGGTGTCTTTCTCTAATTTTAGGAAATTTCTCTAATTTTAGAAAATATATTAAGTATATTTAATGTATAACTATATATATACATATATATGATGAGTAGCAGAACTGCTAAGAAGCTAATGAAGCATAACATACATGGCTGTTACTCCTATGGGCTTCTTTCAAGCACAGGGAGAGATCTTAATAATATAGTCACAAGATATTACAAAATTTATAAAATTATGTCTTTTCACAGAAGTCAGGAATTATTTTTTCTCCTTTCTTCTTTTCATACTTTCCTCTCATCTCAGTGTTTCAGTTATAATTATTGCTTCTATTATAGTAATCTGAACATATTACCTTATGACAACCATTTAGATGCCTCTCTAAAAATTAAAAAGCCTTCATTTATTGTGTCGCTGTTTAAATTAAGAATATATATTTATTCCTATGTATTTAGAAATATTATTTTATTAATGAATTACTATAAGCTACTAAGGCTTATGATCTTAATTTTAGATAAAAGCAACACATTATAAAATGTTCTGAAAATGATGATATCTAATTTGTAATATCAACAGCCCTATAACAACATAACATGCTGAAAACAAGCATAGGAGTTCTCAATTTCTTTTTCATTCTAATCTTCCAAAAGAAATGAAATTGCAGTTATATAAACAGATCTTTGATCACCACAGTAACCAGCGTCTGGTAAGAGTTTTTCAGAAGCTCGTCAGGATCACAGCCCACACACATATACTCGAAAAAAGAAAAAACATATATATAAAATGCTGTAAGATTTAACATAATTTATACAGAAGCTATTAGTGGGCTTTATGATGTTAAAGTAGTTAATATATTTGTAGTCCTGGATGTAGTTTTTGTTACCAACTACTAAATTTAACCAACACCTAATGAGCAACTGTTTTACTTTACAGGCCACTATGTCAAGCACAAAAATGGATTAGGTAGATAGAAGGATAGATAGAATGATAGATAGATAGATTATAGGCCTTTCTAAAATTATTGAAAAATCTAAATAATAAGTTAATAAATACAGTTAAATTTAAAAAATAAAAATATAATACATGTTTTAAGATATAAGAATTATGAAACAATCATACCTATAAAATTTGAAAGTTAATATTTATTATTGCATATATTTATCAGATACAATGTGATTTTTGATATATTTATACATTGTGGGATGCTAAAATCAGGATAATTAATATATTTATCACCTCACTTAGCCTTTTTTTGTTTTGAGAACATTTAAAATATTCTGCTAGTAATTTTCAAAGTATATAGTAAATTATTATTAACTATTGTTATTTCATTGTAAAATAAATCTCCAGTACTATAGACAAAGACTATAATGTAGGTATTATGTATATCTAATTATAAACATAAAGAGGTATGTTTTATTCAATTAGGTAGATAGATGATAGATGATAGATAGATAGATAGATGATAGATAGATAGATAGATAGATAGATAGATGATAGATAGATTTGAATTAAACAAATAGCCTAGACCATGTTATCTTGGGCAAGTTATTGAAATTCTTTCTCTCCCATTTGTTAAAAGTAGATTGCAATAGCCACATTAGTTTCATTGCATGAATAAACAATACATGCAAAGTAATCACAGACATTGCCATATGGATATTGTTGGTTCAAACATCATTGTTATCATTATTACAACCAATAAAAATGTATTAGGATACTTAGTAGTCATGAGATCACCGTTTCCAGGTAAGTCAGGAAAGCCTTCTATGTTTAGGTGAACTAAAAATGAATGTAATCACTGCAGGAACTTAAGAATGGCTAGCTGTTTTGAAAGAAGTCAGAGGAATCCATTGGAAGATAGATTACTATAGAAAGTACACTCTGGTTTTACCACAAGTTTGTAGTATACTGAAGATTTGTGTATTTGTGTGTATACATGAATTGAGGAGGCTGAGAGGGAGGAGTGCAAGTCACCTATAAATAACAGGGATGACTTTTCAAATTTTAGAGTTAAAAAAGCTACTAAATGGAAACAATGAAGACTAGACAAGATTAAATGGGTGTTCATGATTAAGCAAATAATTGAGTCTGTATGGGGAGAAAAGGTAAGCAAAGGAGAAGCCTAAGTAAGGTCCAGGATATTATGGAATTACCTAAAGTGGTCTCATGAATACTGTTTTGTTCTCCAAACATCCAAACACCTTTCACATGTTAGAATTTTCCTCTTTGATGAATATTAAAAGACAATGTTGTGATATTGCCAAGGAAAATGAACTATTGCAATGTGTCAGACTGTTGTGGAGAGCATTTTCCCGACAGTTTACAGGCTGTTAGTAATTTATAATTCATTACAGTTCTTATGTTCTATGAAGTTAAATGATGAGAGACCAAATTAATGTCTAACAAAATGTATTCACTTGAGTGTCCATTCATGTTTCTAGTACATTGTTCTTCATCTAGAAGATATTCATTAACCAAGTATAGTGTTATTAAGCATTGAATGCATTATAAAATAATACATTAATGTCTACCTGCATGCATTAAGAAATGTGTTGAACAGAGGTTTAGGTAGCTAGTACAACAAGGTACTTCAAAGTGCCTTTATTCAGAAACAGATTTCAACTGGGAAAGAATTATTACAGGGTACATCTGTAGTGTTCATGAATCAAGAAAAGAGCAAAATAAATTCATAAAAAAATTTTTTTAGAAAGCACTTAGATCTTTGATTTAATCTGTGAGGTTGAATAAGTTCATCTGTATGTGTTTTTTGTTTGGCTAGGTATGTTACTTATACTTGAGAAAAAATAATACATTTTTGAACTTTAAATGTTACTTTTAATGATTTTCGTTAATAAAATTTAAATGTATATAATTCAAATTCATTAATGAGTTATTATAATGTAATCTTTCAATATTCCTATGCATTCAAATTTATTATATTTTATTACAGAAAGTTGCAATTTTCTTCTAGAATATTACTTAGCAAGATCTTTATAGATTTATCCTCATCCTTACACAATGAAAGTTTTAACTAATTTTTACTGCCTTTAAATATTTTATTTTATATGTTAAAATATGTCGGTTTTTGTTAACATGAGTAATTTGTATATATAAGAATAATCTTTATTTTTCTTCCAAATACTTAACCAGATTATCACATTTGTTTTATTAACAAAAAATGCACAGTAAATTTTCTAATGGCAGCAATATTTTATGTGTATACTGTCATAGCTAATGCATATAGTGAAGTATATATACATATAGTTATCAAAATATATGTTGTAATATGTGTATATAATAATATGTAACTAAGTTTTGGAAACTTTTCTAAGTTTATTAATATATTTGTTTCTTTTAAAACTAATAAATGACATTTCATTACTGTACTCAAAATTAATAATAAGTAATTATTAAATAATAATTTAAATGTAGTGGCAAGTTCCAAAAGCTTTTGAAATGGGGCAAACCAGCTATAGGCATTATGTGCATTACTTCTTTAACTCTCAAATAGTCCCATGAACTATGTTCTTATTACCTGGATTTAGAGAATAAGATGTTAAGAATTGGATAGAAGAGATGATTTATATCAGTTAACAACCTTCAATATATTGGAGTCTGTACATAAATCTGGGTATTCTGACTCTAAAGCTAGCTTGTTCCTTCTTTGTTTGATTTTTTCTTTGTTTTTTAAAACAATACTTCATTCTTTATTCTTTTTAACTGTCATGGAAGTGCCAGGATTATTAATTTTTTATTTTTTTGAGAAAATTGGATATTTTTCACTTTGTCATTCTCACATTCCATGCTTACTAACCACCCTTGTTCACAATGTTGTTGGTTTTTTTTTTGGTCACATCTTTTTTTTTTTTTTTTAATTTTTTATTGGATTATAGGTTTTGGGGTACATGAGCAGAGCATGCAAGACAGTTGCGTAGGTACACACATGGGAGTGTGCTCTGCTTTTCTTCTCCCCTTCACCCACATTTGGCATTTCTCCCCAGGCTATCCCTCCCCACCTCCCCCTCCCACTGGCCCTCCCCTTTTCCCCCCAATAGACCCCAGTGTTTGGTACTCCCCTTTCTGTGTCCATGTGTTCTCATTTTTCATCACCCACCTATGAGTGAGAATATGCGGTGTTTCATTTTCTGTTCTTGTGTCAGTTTGCTGAGGATGATGTGTTCCAGATTCATCCATGTCCCTACAAACGACACGAACTCATCATTTCTGATTGCTGCATAATATTCCATGGTGTATATGTGCCACATTTTTCCAATCCAGTCTATTATCAATGGGCATTTGGGTTGATTCCAGGTCTTTGCTATTGTAAACAGTGCTGCAATGAACATTCGTGTACATGTCACATCTGTAATGATTCCTCCAGAACATAAAATTGGAACTTCTGCTGTAAGATGTTTGCAGATTTTGTAATAGATGAATGTAAATTGCAGAAAAGCTATGCTTCCCTAGAATCAACGTAGTTATAGGACATTGGCATGAACCTCATTATCAACAGAGAAAAATGGTTTTACAGTAACACATCGTTCAGTATCAGCACCATCCATGGGTTCAGCAATGTAGTTGGAAACTAATTTTCACTTGACATGGGACTTTGCCACTGCATGTTATACTATGTAGTGCGTCTAGGAAAGTGTAAGGCACTTAGCTAGTGCGGTAGCTTGAATTATTGATTTCAATTCTTCCTCCCCCGTAGCAGCAGTATTATGCATCTATATGAAATCTTTGACACCGGGGTTAGTCTTGTTGCTTGCTTTAGCGAATTAGATGTCTTAGATATGAAGTGAGTAGAAACTTGAAATATCCTTGTTAATATCCTGCATTTTGACTGTGGAAAAATGTGCCTCAGTTAGCTGCTGAAAATGTTAACAGGTGGTATCAGCCTGGACTCAACCTACAACTTGGAACCTAGACCAGTGGAGCCTTCCTTATTAGAGTAGCCTAGCAACTAGCTACCCACATAATTCAGAATTATACATTGGATTTCCTAATGTCTTTCTTCAGTCTCATTCAATTTGGAATCATTATTCAGCCTTCATGACCTTGACACTTTTGCAGAGTACATGTCATTTATTGTGTAGAATAAAACTCAATTAGGTCCTTTTTGGTTAGATTCTGGTTATGCACCTTTGGTTAAAAAAAAATTAGAGAGATAATTCTGTGTTCTTTTCACAGCATTTTGTCAGATGTTTGATGATATTTACTTAGAACACTTGAATAATGTGTCGTTTGTCAAACTTCTTCACTATAAAATTAGTCTTCTCCATTTTGTGATGACTAGGTATATTTTTTATATAATATTTGAATCTGTATGTATTTATTCATGTATTAATTTATATCAGTATTTTTAAGGCAAAATTAAAATGGAAACCAAACTCAAAAAATTCCTGAGCAAGAAAAACTGCCTAGGCTTTAAAAGTAATATTAAATTTGCTTACATTAAAAACATAAGTGAAAATTAACTTTGGTCATTTCTTTAAGTACTTGTGTTTGAAGAAAACAAAACTTAACCTCAGCTAATCAAAAGCCAGTAATTAACATATGGTGATGTGACTAGGAGATTTAACATTAAACCAAAAAGAAAATTTTATAACTAAAACTAATCAAATAATTTATTTATTTTGCTTTCATATTCATCTTACAAATACTTTAATATTTTGTCACCAGGGCTGGTGGACTTTTTTTAGTTTAATGCTTCCTAATTTGTGAACTGCAGTCTAGTTGAGCAGACAGCAATTGTCTATTCAATTTTTGTTATGCCTTATATTTTTCTTACATAGGATAGGCTGACAGTTTGTACATTTGGTCATTCGGTTATAATGTATGACTGTTACTATTTATTTTAATGATTTTTCTCAAATTTTACCAATAGGAGTGCCTTCAAACTGACTTCTGGGTTCATTTGATATTTCTCCTTCATTTTCCCCCTTCAGGCACTAAAAGATATTCCAGTTTTTTCTTGTACTTTTCCTGTCCTAATCAAATAATCAGCCATTTCTCCAATACTACCTCTAATATTTTCTCTGCCTTAAGTCATGTCTTATGAAGAGAAAAGATGTGCACAGTTACACCAATTAGCTCCCCACACTTATTTCTGCTTCCCATGCTATTTGACTGAGATTCCTTCTTACTCATAGACAATAAATTTATTGACAGCAGAGCCAGCTCCTTTCAAGAAAGTGATGCTACTGGTATAACTTTCTAACACAACTTAATAGGAGTTTGCAGAATTTCTATTTTTGTGACTGCTTTCTTCTTTTGCCATTATTCTATCTTGTTCTTAAAATCAAGTAAGCCTCAACACCCTGTACTAAACCTCTCTTTGAGGATTGTGTGTGTGTGTGTGTGTGTGTGTGTGTGTGTGTGTGTACATTTGGTCATTGGGTTATAATGTATGACTGTTACTATTTATTTTAATGATTTTTCTCAAATTTTACCAATAGGAGTGCCTTCAAGTGTGTGTGTGTGTTTGAAGATAAAATTTAGAATTGGTTAAAAACCTCAAAATTGTGTTTCTTTATGTCCATCAGAAAAGTTTTGGGGTTTCTTCTTATAGATCCTTGGATTATTTTCTAAGATAATCGCTGATAATAGCTTATTTTTAAGGCTCTTCACAATAAGAGTTTAAACAAACAAGCAAACCCTCTTTAATTTGTTTAAACTGGTTTCAGATTGATTAGAGAATTTTGATATTTTAATATCCCTTTTGAGTATAACATCGTTTGCAAATAATCTTTCCTCTGCTCAATCTTGAAAAGTATTTTGGTATTACATCTAGTAAAATATTAAGTAATAATGATTATTTTGAATATATAGTTTAATATGCTTTTTATTTGAACTAGATACAGCAGTTAAGGAAGTATTCTTTCACTACTGTACTAAAAGGTAATTGCTTAATTTCAAGTGATAACAGTATTTTTACCATATATCTTTGGTTAAAGTAATAATTTTATTTTTCTACCTGGATTTATTAATATTCTCCAAAATAGACTTAAAGCTAGGGAAAAGGATCTTCTCTTGCTTGAAATTTTCTTAATGGGAAAAGAGATATTACAGGCAAAGACATAACACGTTAAAACATAGCTTTTAGTTCAAGAAAACGGTAAATACAGGAAACCTCTCTCTTTTGTGTCTTCTTTTAAGACACATTATATGCAACCCAGTGCATGATATAAACAAATTATTGTGCTGAGTGAGCAGAAGGAAGTATTCCCATACTTTACTATTGATTTCATCAAATTACTTAGAGTATCAACAAAGATATTTTTCACTATGTCTTCCTCAGCGGAGAAGATTTGCCAAAAGTCAGGGACAGTCTGGTATTTCCATGTAAAAACTGCAACCAATTCCATCTTCAATATGACAGGTAAAATAGGCAGCTCTACCTCTTAGAAATGTTCATTTGCTATCTGATCCAGAAGCTTCTAAAAAGACCATAAGAGGATATTAATAAAGTCAGTGTTAATACTATGCATTATACATATATATATATTTTATTTTTGAGCCAGAGTCTCACTCTGTTTCCCAGGCTGGAGTGCAGTGGTGTGATCTCAATTCACTGCAACCTCCGAGCTGGGTTTACAGGCACCCACCAACATGCCCAGATAATTTTTGTACTTTTAGTAAAGATGTGATTTCACCATGTTGGCCTGGCTGGTCTTGAACTCCTGACCTCAGGTGATCTCGGGTTCAAAAAATAGTGGGATAACAGGCGTGAGTTACCACGCCCAGCCACCATGCATTATTTTAAGCTGAGCTTTTCTCCTTTTACTAGGTCAACTGCATTATCCATCTAACTCATTCATTTTATTAAAATGAATAATACATTTAAGAATTCAAAAAATATGTATTGTTATTCTTGAGTCAGATATTAAAGATAAGTAGAAAACAAAACAGATAATCCCTTTTTTTACATGAGATGTTTATCTGCTGAAATAACTGTTGGTACATCTCAAAGAAATTGATATCAACAGTAGCAAAATCACTGAAATATTAATTCTACCATTTCCTGCCCAATATCAAGTAATACCCATTTTTAAATTATACATTGGTGTTGAAAATATTATTAATATATTTATGAAAGTCAACATTTCTCAATTTAATCATCTTCTCTTTCTTTAATAGAAACTCTGTAAGAAATACCAAATCAAAGTATCTTTAGCCAAATACTACTTACTGTAAAACTTACAAAACTCTAGCAAAAGCAAGAGAAAAGCTTGTACTCAGCATCAAATGAATCTAGGTGCTTCACCATGAAATAATTTTCAACACATCTTCTGTCAGAGTTTCCCATTCCTTATTGGCTTCATTCTCCTAAGCACGTTTCCCACATGTTAGAAAGCAATGCCAGTAGCAGAAACTGAGCAGGCTTCTGCCTAGAGAAACATGGGGGACCCATTCTTAGTTTTGGAAAATTGTTTAATCTAACTTTGGTGAAATCAAAATCCCTAGATCAATCAATAAATCAGTCAAAGTGGTAAGAATTTTTAAAGTGATAATTATTATATAAATCATAATTACACATGTAAATTCAATGTGTCTTTGAAGGACAGCTGCTGGGCAAAGAAAGCAATATATGTATCCTGCACTTGTCTGAACCCCAGGTTAGTTAGACTTTCCATCCGTATAGCTTCATTTTAGACTTTTATTCTTTACAACAACGACTGACCCTTAATAAGAAAACCCAACTTAGCTTACAAAATTTATCTAAACTGTGCTTCTCAAGCACCTCACATTTGCCTAATTCTAAAGAAGAGAAGGATATCAAAGCTCTAGCTCTGCACTCTTACATTTCAAATCAATGAAGAAAAATATTGCTTCAAATAGTATCATTCCCTAATATTTAATAGAGATTCTATTTTAGAAAATAGAAAGTCATCTTAGTTTTGTACTAAATCTAATCAGTCCCTGCAAGCTGACTAGATCTTATGAAGAAATTTGAAAATCACATAACAGAAGTCATCCACCAGGACATTAATTATGATCCTTTCCTATGCCCATGTTTTCTGCAATGACTTCTTTAATGACAACTTCTTCTCATTAATTGACCTCCTGAATATTTGAAATCACTTAATTTCCATTTCCTTTTCTAACAATTTCATGCAGGCATCGCAATGCAGAGACGAGCTCTTCCTGAGACAAAATATAATTTCTATATTGACCAGGACACTCTAAATTTAGGACAGGTCACTGTTAACATCCCAGCTTTTATTCCATTCCCATTTCATGCTATTCCATCCACATTGCTTCAATCTCAGGAGAAGCTGAAGCAATTTGTGGAATGTATTCTACTCAGTGTCTTTCTTCATTCTCCTTCATTTTTTCTCCTCCTGAATTCGTTAGTCCATAAATTCAGTCTTTTGAATAGGCTTCCCTCTTGCTGAACATTTCTACCAGCTGGAGAATCATCATGACCAGATTTCTGAACTGAAGTTGCTTTCTTGATATGTCCAATTTTTATAACTGTATGCATCCAGTAAGAAACTACATGTACTTAGCCAGGTGGTCCTCCCCAAAGCATTTCCTTTCTTCAGCATTTCAGTTTCCAAGGACTTAAATAACTTGCATGACATCAGTGACTGCAAAAACATTCCAAATTTGCTACCTCCTTCACTATAGCAATAAAATATCCTTTTAATATTTATTTAATGTTTAATTTTCTTCTGTTGTTTTGCTAATCCTTTGAAGTAGACACAGCTGTTAAAGATATTTTTAACTTAATTCTCAATTTATCCTTAGTCTACCTCTGCCACGTTTTGCAGGATTGTAGTGTCTTTCTCTGTATTTGCTTATAGGCCAATACACTGATTTTTCTAGTATTGCTTTGTGGAGTTGAGAGTTGGGAGTTGGCCATTTCAGAGAGTTTGGCTGCACATTCCCATTAAGTTAGCCCTCACCTTACATGCAAGGATGCAATGTAAAAATTATTCCAATTATCCATGTCTATAAATTCTACTTATAGATCATAGGTAGGGGGAAATTATCAGCCGATCTGTTGACTCAGGTAACCCACTGTAAAGCATGGTGCCACTTATTATTTCTTCCTGATAAACCCCCACACTCACAGGAAGCCCATGGTGACACATGGGTCTCTGGATATTTATGTCATATCAGGACATTGTGTTAAACAGTTTTCAAAATTTCTGTTCATTCTGCTTTCCTCATTGTAGAGTCAGCTGACTAGATGGCCATAGGTTCTTTTGGAGAAGGACTGGAGTAAGTGTGGATAAGATTACTGTGCAGCTATGGAATACTTCTTCCTAAGCATTCAGCCTCCTCTTCAGTAAATGAAGTTCACAAGTGAAAACTACTTAAGACCTGAGAACTGAGAAAGTGTCATTTTTGTTGAGGTAATCACTCTCAGCCACCTGCTTGTGCACCAGTGTTGACTGTCCGAAGGCATACCATTATCTATTAACCATCTACACAGTTCCCAGCTGGGAGTCTCCTTTCCTGCCCCACCAATCTTATTTATTACAGCAATTGCAGCTTTCTGGCTCCTGGTAGTTGAGTGTTGTCAACTGGCCTCTGTTAGTGTTGTGCCCCACGGATGTTGATGAATTCAGCACTGTAATCACTAGTCCTAATGTTTTACCTAGCCTGCAATTAAGAGACATTGCTAAGTTTCCTGTAGTATGGTATTGCTACGCCAACACATTCCTAAATGCAATTCTCTGGCAGTGAGGTGAGGAAAACAGCCAGAGGATCATGTTCCATTGGGAAAGCAAAAAGGACAAACCATTTCCCAAGGGTATGAGAAATGCCAGCATGCACATTTCCATTGGCCTCTGTCTTTCATCTACTGGAAGACAGGACATAATTACACACTTCATGTAAGTATAAAAATAATTACCTATTTCTGCCTTCTCACATCTTTAATCAAGTAGCCTCAATATCCAGTTTCTGTGATACACCCATGGTTGACTGTAAATATGTCATGAGTGAGTGTTTAAATACTCACTAATGCTGTACTGAAATACTTGATATTTTATTTTCTGCTCAGCAATGTTTATCTTACAACTACAGGAGATAAAGTACTACTCATAAGCTACAACACAGATGCTTTGACTCCCAAATGAAGAGACATTGGCCTGTAAGCAAATAGAGAGGAAGATACTTTGACCCAGCAAAATGTGTCAGAGGTAGACTGAGGATGAATTGAGACTTATCTGATATTAATCATTCTAACTATCTCATCCTTCTGTACAGTCTCAGAAATAACCAGGCATCAATGCTATAATCCATAATTTTCTAGTGCCTGAAGCATTGCCCCTGCAAGCATAACTCTCACATCTGTGACAATTTCCCAGGGCACCTCAGTAAAATAGTAAACCTCCACTGCCACACTATTTATGCCATAGATACAACTCTGGATATCATCATGTTGGCTAATCGTGTGTTGAGTAAGTGATTTCAGAATGCATCCTCTTTGCTTCACATCACTACTGGAACCACATGCTTTAGTTTGAGTCCTTTAAGAAGCAAACAAAATAGCAATAAGCATGCAAGAGATTTGTTAAGTGAGAGAGAACGGGTGGAAACCCAAAAAGTTCAGGAAAGTCATCACGCTGTGGTGCAGGGCTGATTCCTGTGGAGGAGACAAAGAAGTGAGAAATGTTGGATAGAAGAAAAACCTTATTAATAGTGTACAGTACTAACAAAAATAAAGCAAGGACAATGATAAGTTTTCAAGCCAAAATCATCTGTTGTAAACTAAACTAAAAATCAAATAAAATCCTAAGTTCCTCAACCAACTGAATGGACCCACTCTTGGCCAAGGGGACCCTAAAGAAACCTAAAAAATTGAGTTCCCAGCCCATGGAATGGGAAGCCAGACCCCCTCCCTTTTTTGTTTAGGTGCATCAACTGACCAGCATTAATGTTACAATGGAGGTCATAAGACTAACCAAACAAAGGAATTGTGGCAATAAGATATCAAATTATAAACAGGACCTAAGGCCATGCCAGGAAAGGGTTAAGCCACACAATCCTTACACTTCAAGAATAAACTATGCTCTGATTGCCACAAGTCTTTTCTTTTGCTCTAGCAGCTAAACAAGCACTGGCCTTGAGATAATGCAAAATTTAAACAATTGAAGCTTACTACGACACATTGACTAACGCTTTTTTCAACAAACCATAACTATGGCATTCATTGGGCAAGAGACTGAGTTCTATACATTTTCTAAGAAGAGGCCACTAAGCATGAATTTTGCCATCTTAACTTTCTTAATAGTTTTAAAAGAAGGAGCCCCACTTTGGGCTCTAGAAATTATGTAGTTATTCTTATCTGTTACTGTAATTATAATCAACATTCTAAGAAAACTTGGCCATTTTCACCTAGAGTAGGGTATTTTTGAACAAGAAGTATCTTTCATTTATCAATCTAACATGTATCTCAAGCTGATACTTGGTCTATTATGATTTTAAATTGCTCTGCTATTGTTTCTCATATGTCCCAACTCTAAAATCCACCTAGATATGTTTCCTCATACAAAATACATTTTTTGTTTTCACCTATACAAACATTACCTACAATCCAACAAAGTCCTGTGATTCTATAGTAAATTTTACCTTTATTTAAATATCAAATTTGTGTAAAGCAGATAATTTGTCCAATTTTCTAGGCTGTACTCAATAGAATTTACTTTTGACTCCCGTTTGTGTATTTTAAGAAGTACCTTTCAAAATTTGCCATTGCGTTAGATTACCTGGTCAGTGCATTGCGGTTTGATTTCTCAGTGTATTCCTTTTGTATTTTGATATATATTTGGCACAGATACCAAGATATAATAAAAAATAATTCATAATCACATAAATTATGGCTTAAAAGTAACTAACTCTATTGTTTTCTGTTGCATGTAGTTCTAACATTGCCTGGTGATCATAAAATAGAGCCTTTTTTCAGAACAACATTTACTTTTTCTTCAAGTTTATTTGTTTCACATTATTTCTTTTCAGACTATTTCTAATATCATTTTATTACAATTTAAGTTTTCCTTTTCATGTTAATGTTTAGTATTCCCTTTTAAAGCTTAACTAATCATTTCCTACTTTGAATTCTTGTTCTTAAGTCTTTTTACCTTCTCATTCTGTCTTTTCTTTAGTTCAGAAAGCCAAGATTTTAAAATTCTTTATCCTTGACTTTTACAAGAATTTTATTAAATCTGGTTTCTCATTCCAACTTTCAAATATAATAATTTATCTTAATAATAAAGGTCTCCTTTTTATACATATTGGTGAAAAGTCTGCCATTAAGTTTTTACTGAATCCTGAGTTTAAGTCATTTAAATTTATGGTCATATGCAAGACGTACTTTATAAACTAACTAGAGGTAATTTGAAAACAAGTAGCAGAAGTAAACTGTGAAGTTGCTGTCAAAGCACTGTGAAAAGCTGGGTCCTATAGTTTGAAGTCCACAAGCTCTATCTCCTGGAGAACAGCTGGAGTGACTTGTTGCTAGGAGAAACATGAATGTGAGACTCTACATGAACCTGTTCCCCCATTCAACCCTGTGTTTGTGGAACTCATTGCATATAGAAAATGCGGCATCAGTGATGCAGTTTTGGTCCATGTTGCAAAGCTTCTATCCATTGGGTGGAGGGCAGTTTCTGTCCTTCTGCAGTGTTATATTTTTGACAACAACAATCACAAAACGTGCTTTTACATGGTAGGCTGCATGATACACATTGATGAAAAAATCAGGACAAATACAAGCCCAGCTGCCTGTATATTTTGAATTAGGGTCAGAAAAACAAACAAACAAAAAATACTTTTATATTTAGGGGTCTTTGGTGTTGCTCATGCTTATGCCTGTTCGTTGGCCACTGTGCTCATATCCCATAAAGTGGATGTAGTCTCAATAACTATTAAGATTTGCCAACAGCCCATATTAATTTAGTGTGATATTTAGCCTCTTCTCAAAGCTTATTTTAACATTTTTAGGAAGCTTGTGCCATGTTTTCAAAAGGAAGTGATTAAATTGGTCCATTTGTACTCTCTTTAGTCTCCTTTGCAATAGGTATCATTAAAATTGCTTATTGAATTTTGTCATGTGGATTTTATAATTCCAAAAATTATAAAAAGCATCTCAATATCTTCTTCTATATTTAATTTCTTTGGGCATTTTTTGTTAGCTAACTGATGGTGGGAAGAGTAAAATATAGTTTACAACAAGCATATGTTCTGGACATGTGAGGTTCAAATGGTCATTGGAGAAACATTTTTGAGCATGGTCAAAATGAGTACTAGTATAAAATTAATGAGTTTCTTTTATTTTATTTTTTATGACATTTTAGGTTTTGGGGTACATGTGCAGAGCATGCAATACAGTTGCATAGGTACACACATGGCAGTGTGTTTTGTTTGCTTTCTTAATAAATAATATTATATTTTATCTATTATTATAAATGCATAATTAGCCACTGCAAATGCTAATATGCATGCATAAAGAGCTTTTAATTCTCAGTTCTCTTTTCAACTTAACAATTGAAACTACTAGTAAAATCAAACATCAGAAGATACATGGATGTATTGGCAGATCTATTCTACTCCAATAATGCCAAATATCTCAATTGATTATAAATTATTATCTCCTCAAAAGATCTGTTAACATTTACTTCTAAAGATGAAATGTACATATAATTGTGTTTATTTTCTTTTTAATTTTTATCTTTGAATTTCTACTTTATGAATTTTATGATTAATATGCATAGGTATAGAAGTTAAATTACATGGTGTAATTTAAAAGTTCTCATGAAAGTGAAATAATTCCAGTAATACATACTAAAAATTTCAAATTTATAATTCAGGATGAAATAAGAAGTCATTATAATGGATAATGTGGAAGAAAAAAACTAGGTAATGTTTTGATAATGAAAAAGGTAAAAAAAGGTTTGAGTAATCAAGAAGCTATATTGAAGATAAAATAAGTTTTCTTTTCTAGTTACAGAGAATGATTTGCATATTGGAGTTAAAAAAAACCTAAAAGTTCCTTGAAAAACATGATTGTTACAGTAAAAACTATAATTCTTGTAATACCTTCAACTTACGTGACATTTATAATTGAGGTGACCTTCGTGATACATATAAAACAGAATCTAGAATATATCAGCATTGATCATATCATAAGCACTTAGTAAATGTTAGGAAGAGAAGGCTTTAC